AGGGCACGCCCCGTGGGCGCGCTGGGGGTGCAGGACGCCCAAGTGCAACAGCTGAAGCGTGCAATTTTAAGCCTGATTTCCCCCAGAATTTACTCACTTGCAAAGACCAATGCAGCTGCCGGCCCCGCACCTTACGCGTGAATAGAACCCAAGCCCTACCGTGGTACTGTCGCTTTTAAACTGGTGTCCGCTCCCAACCTATAAAGCCTGCGGCCGTTTCAAAGCCCTCCGCCAGCTGCCAGGGCTGCCGGCGTTCAGAGCAGAACTGAACCAGCGACCTGCAGAGGAGCTTCTCCCCGACGCCGGTTTGCTTGTACCCCCTCCCAGTTTCCGTGCCGGGTATGGGTTGGCCAGCCGGTGCCTTCACAGGACAAAGTATTTCTGTCCTCTCTCCCCTGTGTAAATCTCCCATTGCTGAGTATGTAAAATAGCAGGAAATGCCAAAAGCTGATTTAACCGGATATTTGACATACTGATGCTGATTTTAATTAGATAAAGAGCTTTCCTACAGCCCCTCTAAAGAAGACAAGTCATTTGATTGCGACTTGAAAACAGAAGGTACAAGAAAGCTGAACTACCCATCAAAATCCAAAGACCTAAAGCAGAAACATCATCCCCTGCCTGCTTAGATTTAATTGGGAATAACCTCACCTCCCAGCCCTCCTGTAAGGAGAGAGAAGGTACAGTTGCAAAATTTAGGGCTAATAATAATACTACAAGCAAAAGTTTAAGCACTATAAATAATTTAAAATCTAAAAAAAAGTTATTATGAAGGCATAGTTGTTGATATGCATGAAATGTTAAAAATAAGTAATACTGATTCCCAGATAAACTAGAACAAAGCCACCTTCAGTATACTACTGAAAGAAAAGGCTGAGAAAGGTCAGAAACTAATTCTGCTCGAATAGTCCTTGCACATAGCACAAAAAACTTATAAGTACGCAGTGACAGATTGAGCAACCGGGTAACAAAACAGGAGACTTGCCACGTTCACATGCTGACAGAGCAGACGCTCCTGGAAGCAGCCCTCTCTTCTCAGAAGGGCGCACTTGCTAACTCCAGCCTCCACAGCTGGTCTCGCAGGAGGTTCAGCCGCCAGCATAGCACAGCCCAGCACTGCAGACGCTCCCACTGCAGACGCGAGCGCATGTCGTACCTGTTCCTGATACCCAGGGTATCGACCAGTTGGAGCGAGTCCAGAGGAGGCCACAAAGATGCTCAGAGGGCTGGAGCACCTCTGCTATGGGGACAGGCTGAGAGAGTTGGGCTTGTTCAGCCTGGAGAAGAGAAGGCTCCGGGGAGACCTTATAGCACCTTCCAGTGCCTGAAGGGGCTACAAGGAAGCTGGGGGGGACTTTTTACAAGGGTCTGTAGTGACAGGACAAGGGGTAACGGGTTTAAAGTGAAAGTGGGGAGATTTAGACTGGAGATCAGGAAGAAGTTCTTCCCGGAGAGGGGGGTGAGGCACTGGAACAGGTTGCCCAGAGAAGCTGTGGATGCCCCATCCCTGGGAGTGTTCAAGGCCAGGCTGGATGAGGCTTTGAGCAACCTGGTCTAGTGGAAGGGGTCCCTGCCCATGGCAGGGGGGGTGGGACTAGATGGTCTTTAAGGGCCATTCCAACCCAAACCATTCTGTGATTCCCATGATCATTATTCCAGTTATAATTATCCTCTATCGGCACTATACAACTCCAGTTTGAACAACACTTTTAAACTTCCACAATTGCAGTTCAGTCCAGAGGAAAGGCTGAGCGGTCTCCCTGAAACGTGCAGTGCAGACACAACCACGTGAAAGATCCACACTCAGGCTGGAGCCGCACAGAACACATTTCCTCTTCTTCCTTCACCCTTTTCCCTCCCTGCCTCCGCTTCCCCCATGATCCAAGTTGTTTCTACACAGAAAAACAGAACAGTGGGATTGCTGGTCTCAAACTGTGGCACTGTTTGGATGACTTATATTTACTGATCATGCGCTGTGACCAACGCTGGGGGTGAACTCTTCTGGTCATTACTAATTAAAGAACTACGTAATTATGCTGGAATTAAATAGGGGTTCCCATTTGCAAGGCACTGTTGCAGTTACACTAGTTTGAGGAAGGCAGAGAAAGGTCGGAAGGAAGAAGGGTCAGGAAGAAAATGGTCTGTGTTTAACAAAACGCCGTGCCTGTAAAGACATTACCATGAGCGCGCCTCATACCCAACCTTTATATGAAACGCCGCGTGACAACCCAAATGACGTGGCAGTACGCAGCATCAACCCACGGACTAGCTGCGGGCCACAATACAGGCACATGGATCAGTGTGGGAACCAAACCAAATTACTGAAGGTGGTGGAAAGAGGCTTCCTTTTGTATCACACACATTATATTATATAGAAACTGGGGGAAGGAGGAGCAACGGGTGCCTCGTTAAGACCTAGATTTCAGCCGCTGACTAGTCCACAGGGGTCTTCAAGGCTTGACTGAACAAACTCCTGAGCAAGTTGGCCTGAATTCAGCACTGACCCTATTTTTAAGTAGGAACCTGGACGAGAGACTCTTCCCACACCAAGCATTTTTAAGATCCGTCAAGGGGACAAAGGATGTCAGAGAAAATCCAAACTAAGCAATTTGATGAGTAATCAAATAAGTAGAAAAAGCCACACTTCCTTGAATTTGTCTTTCAATAACTTCAGTACAAGAACAGACACAGCACGTGGCTGAGTATGATGTACAAGGTGAAGCTGTACTTGAAAAATTCAGGATTTTATTCTAAACAATGATTGTTTTTTATCTTTTTACAAAATATCCCAGACTGTACAATACATCCACGTTTTTCTAAGGTAGGGTTTTTTTAAAATTATGTAACCATTTCCTCTTCAGTTTTGAGGTAGAGATACACACATTTTCAATCAGCATAGTTCAAAAACACTTTGGTCTCCCCACTATAATCCAAGCATAGAAGCAATGCACAAGATCACAACGTCTGTTTTTCCACTATTAATTGCTCAGATAAATTGGAAATGATGTCACGGCCTCTAAAAGTTGGCATTTAAAAGTTGGCCCATTAATTCCATGAAGAAACCCTGAAAAGATCAGAGCTGGTATCATGGAGGGGCACCGTCTAAGGCAATGCTTTCAGAAGGAGAATCCTCTGCCCCAGAAGCAGGGCTCTCAGGCAGAGGAGCAGAGGCATCTGTTTCCAAGCTGTGCTTCTTCTCCAGATCACAATTCATGTCAGAATTTCCTCCGCCACTCACCTCTCCCTCTGACTCCTCAGTCAATTTGTCTTGGGCCTGAGCTGACTCGTCAGAATCTTCTTTTTCACGCAGAAAGCTGCAAATCGTGTTAGGCCTGCTGTAGGAAAAATCTCTGTCCTTGATCTGTAACCACTCCACTCCACCTGATGCAAAGAAGGAAAATTGGTATTAGTGACAAAAGGAGTCAACAGCATTTTTGTATAAGTTTACTGGTATTAAGACTGAGTCCGACAAACATTTAAGTAAAAGAATCACTTAGGATAAGATGATGTCTTTCAAGAATTTGGACCAACACTGATATTTTGTGGTGAGTCTCACCATGGGGCTTAAACCACTCATTTTCCTTGAAAAATAAGGCTATGAATAACAGAAAGGCATTTGATAAAGAAAGACGAGCTTAAAATGAAGAGAGACTTAAACTGTTGATAAACAACAACATGCACAGGCTAAACCAACTAATCCAAGACATATAGCCACAGGTTTTTAATCCAGATACTGGAGGCCTCATGTATTCACAGATTCACAGAGTGGAAGGGGTTGGAAGGGACCTCTAGAGATCATCTGGTCCAAGCCCCCTGCCAGAGCAGGATCACCTAGAGTAGGTCACGCAGTGTATGGTTCACAGATGTCATCAGCTCGCTTTCTGATGAGCAGCCGCAAGGGAGATAAAATTATTAGGAAAGTAATGAAGAGCAGGAATTCAGGAATGTCAGGATACATGGACAATGCTATGTCTATGTCATGAGTCCTGCTCAACCCATACTGTAAAACTAGAAAAAAGAAACAAGAATTGGTGAGAGTAAAGGTAGCTCTACAAGGGAAGAGACACTAAAACCAAACCAAACAACAAAAGCCACCAAAAATGCACCAAAAAAGACAGAGACTAGAAGTCCACTTGGAGGAGACAGCTCAGAGGGGGCAGATATTTATAAGGCTGTATTGGGAAAACAAGTAGGGATTTTTTATCTCCTAATTCTGATAACAAAATAAGTAACTTGCACTCTTTGGATGCCCCCAATTATACATTTGTAACAACAACAAAAGCAAGCAAACAATCAAGAAAACCCATGGTAAAGTTGTGCTTTTTCCATACAACAGAAATGTGATTTGCAAACTAACTGCCATAAAAAGTGGGAGAAGCCAAAAGTACAGACAGGTTCAGCAAGCAAGTGAAGATGACAGAGCCTTTATGGACTAAAACCATAGTAATCCAGATGAAAACTCTTGTCAGGATATTCATGAACTGCTGAGCACTGGAAGATGTTCAACATCTTCGCCGGTGACATGGGATCTCCCGGACTCAAGCGTATCAAACCTTTACAACACGTATCAAACAGACTCTGAATAGGACTGGGATTCCCCTCCTGCTTAGATTTTTAGGCAGTATGTGTTGCCAGTTCACAAGATGCTGCTTTGTACGCACAACATTAAACTTCTGTCAGGGCACACAGACAAAGTGGTTTTCAGCACGTGTCATCATTATTGCTCCTTCAGAACAAACCAGGCCTTTGTATTAAGCAACATATTCTCTAGTCTACTGTACTTCAAAAATACGAGTTCCTGTTTAGCATTACCTACTTATTCATATGGAGAGAAGAAACGGTACGCGGTGTTGGGAAGAATGCCGATTGGTTAGATTCTAGATGACGTTTCATGTTGTACCTCCTATGACCAGTGTCCAGTTGACCGCCCACGTTTTAATGTAAAATGGCTACGTACCCTTCCAACAGGAAGCAGTAACACTGACTTGAGTGGAAAAGAGAAACTGAAAGCAATAGGATACTGCTAATGAACACTACTATGCATACTGTGGGATACTCAGTATCTGACTATGCAGAAAGTAGTGACTTCCGTACAAAAAAAAGACACCTCTGAAATAAAGCAAACACAGAGCACCAAGTTCTGCCTACAGCATGAAAATCAGGATGAATGGCCTGCTAGGTGTGTCTTTGCAAGGACCTTCAATTCCTTCACCATTAACCGTAAAGTCAGTAAGAACAATTCAGTTCCAGCACATACAACATGGAACATTTTACTAAGGATATTACAGATTTTCAACAGCTAGAGTCTAATGAGTCAAAAAGCCATTAGAAAAACTGATGGATGCTCCTAAACACAATCCATCCACGACCCTATGCATAAAAACAGAGGCACTAACCAACATTCTCTTCTCCTTCCTTCTTTTCTGTCAAAAGTGTCCGTGTCATGTTCAGCTTCTTCATCGTGTGGCACTTGTATTTCAGCTGCACTTTTTGGTTGCCTTCTGCATCTACCATGAAGAGAGGAGAAAAAAACAATACCCAAACCCCAGTCATTGTAGTGAATTCCACTATCAGCTGAAACAAGATAAATATTTTTAACCTCCCAGGCTACCACAGTGAACAGGACATCAAATCACAACAATTACCATGCTCTGTGTTTTCTTCAAAAACCACACAGGTTCCCAAGGTATCTATGGAAAACAAAGTGAGAAAGTCTTAGAGACTAATTTATACCAGATATATTTTTTTATATTACATATTTATATTAATTATATTACACAATATTACTTTCCAATAAACAAGATGAATGCATGGCTAATTTAGCACTGAACTCAGACTGGTGCTGGTTTATATGGTGTTGTACAGACACCACACACAACTTCAGCACCTCACAGGACCGTATTGTCCACTCAGTGCAATTAACTGACATCAATAAAGTTCTTCAGGTCGCATGAAAAAGGAGAGATTGTATCCACATCGTTTTTCCTACCTTCATATTCTCCTGCAAATACATATCTGTCCACTTGTAAGATGGGCCTCTCTGTCTCTATTCCCTACAGAGGGACAAAATGGCACAGATGTCAGGTCTCTCTAAGCCCTGGCAAATTTCTTGCTGTAAGACCAAAGAAGGCAGATACAGCAGAATCCAAAACACATCAGTTCCTTGAAAAGATAAATAGTTAAAAAAAACCCACAACATAAGGTAAGAACAGTAAAATAAGTATTCCATAACATGGTAAATGTGACATTGAAAGTTTCTTTTGGCATTAGAGAAAGGGAATGGATTCCAGACTGTAAAGCTTGCTCAAACTGTCAGCTTCATTTGAAGAAAATTACATCTTTAAAAGAGGATTTATGGAAGTGCGTAAGAGTTCTGCAAGGCCAAATGCAAGGTCCTGCA